GGGAGAGTGGGCAGGGGCCAGAGGGCTCGTGGCAGAGCCCCCCCACGTGGCACGGGGCAGTGGGGAACAGCAGGGATCACCCCCCTGCCTGGCAGCAGCCAGTGAATGGGGGCTTTTTTTTTAAAGAGCTGGGGTGGGTGGGGCAGCCACTGAGAATGGGCATGGTGTGTGGCCAATTCAGAGATGCAGCCAAATCTCTAAATCAGATTTGGCCAAATCAATTCAGGACAGTGATTTGAATCACCAGATTGAATCACTGTCCCCCTAATAGGCCAAATCCAAAGCAAATACTAGCTGTTTTGCACAGGCCTAATAGCGACGCACCCTCTGCAGTGCCTATGCCAGCACTTTAAGGTATGACTTCAAAACGAGGTAGTGGAGACAAACAATGGGAACTTTTTGGAGGCAAATCAATCAGCCAGTACTTTCAGAGGATTTGAGGTCAGAGTTGAGCTGGATGCTCTCCTCACATCCCTTCTTCTCCCTCTCTCCCTTCCCTACCAACTTCCTGCTTCTTCCCGCTCACTGGATAGTCACCCACATCATTTCCTGGGCTGTCTCTGAAGGTTTCCCATCTAGCAACCTAAGCCTGTTTACCTTCAAACTCTCGCTGATTCACTGGGGAAGGTAACTACACTAGTAACACACACTGACAGCTGAGACATAGCTATTAATGCTCCAAAAATAGCAGCCGAGTTGGATGTCTGTAAACTCTGCTCTTCATTTATCTAAGAGGACGAGGAACAGCAGTGGCTGGTAGCCAGTGGGCTTTTTTTAAAAGTTTAAATTTTCCCAGAAGGACCTTTCTTTCTGCAGATAATCCTTCCCACATAAAAATAAAAGATCATTACTAGAAGACATATTGCCCCAAATAAACTCAAGAGTGTTTGTGACTGACACACATGGAAAGGGAACAAAGGGCTGAGCAGGACAGGATGCCAGCTGTAAGCAGCAGTGGACAGAAAGCAGAGGCCTGGTTTTCTTCACCTAACAAATGTGTCAAAGAGGGAACAACTGAGCCCTCCCCCATTCCCTCCTTTCATATCAACCCTCTTCTGTTTGCTAACGGCATGTGGGCCTGCCACTCAGGCGGCACAATGAAAGACTGTTTGGAGAAGAAGACTGGGAGTTAGGACTCCTGAGTTATTTCCCCAGCTCATCTGCAAATTTCTTGAGCAAGATTGGTCCCCGTGCCTCAGTTTCTCTACCAGTGGGATACAGACAGTTCTGAGGCATTCGGCATGATCTTCTGGTTGCAGTACTACAACAACCCAAGCAGAAATGCAATTTTATAAAAAAGCAACTCTTCTAATGACCCCCAATTCCCAGACCTTTTTCTTTACTGATTCCCATGTTTCCCACACCCTCTGCAGTTTAGTCTAAGCTGCAAAGATTAAATTGAAAAAGAAGTGAACAAGCAGTTGCTTGTGATTCAGGAAGTGCAGCCACATGCCTGCAGTAGCTCAAGCCAGAAGCTGGCAGAGCTCTACAGCATGGCTCTCTGGCACATACCTAGCATAGGCTGCATGTTCACTTCCTCTTCCTGCTGCCTCCAAGGTCTCTGGGATTTGCAGTCAAAAATAACAGCAGCAGGACTCTGCAGAGTTGCTCATCACTTCCTCTTCCTGCTTCCAGGTGTCTCTGGGATTTGTAGTCCACAGTTGCAGCCAGCAGTAAGTTGGAGTGGGGAAAGGGGTGTTTAAACCCCCTCCCTGACCCCAGACCCCAACTGGGGTTTGTTGGGGGGCAGCTCCCTCCCACAGACTGGCCTTGCCCACCCCACCTTGTCAGCCAGCCCTCACTGCTCCAGCTAGGGAGCAGAGGGGCGGGGCCAGTCCTGCTTTCTGGAGCAGACAGCCAAGGCCGGGGCTGCAAAACATGCTGGAGGACTATGATTTAACTTGAACCAGGAAGGGGTCTGGGACAGAAGTTTCATAAACCAGTTTGACCCAAATCACTTAAATCTGATACTACATTCAACCAGGTTTTTCTTAAACCAGTTTCAGCCATTTTGAAACTGGTTTATGTGCACTGAGCTTCTGTTCCGTTACAGGTTTAACCCACTTTCTGATCACTTAAACTGGTTTATGTATAACTTCTGTCCGTAGCCTATATCTGCAGTGGAAGGGTATGGTCAGAGGACTAGGAGGGAGGAGGGTGGGTGGAAGCTACAGTTCCACACAGTGTATTGTCACACAGTGGCACTTTTAGCTGCTCCCAACATTATCTACCTGACTTCCACCTGTTTGTGATTCAGCCATCAGAAGGCAAGCAGATTGGCTGGGGAAGTGTGTGTGATGGATACACAAAAACAAAGGAGGTGGCTGTGAGAAGGTAGGGTTTGGGTGCATTAGAGGAAAGGGATGAACATGTGATTGGATCAGAAAATGTGTATATAGCTCCCCTGGCAGTGGCGGATCTAGGATTTTGAACGGGGGGGTGGGGTTGCAGGTGGTGTGGTATATCATCACATATAAACACAATGAATTTTTCCAGTCAAAGAGAAACTACAAGCTTTACTAATATGTTATGGGCATGCGCTATATTATTCAGCTTACGATCAAAGCAAAAACACATATAACTTCATTGGAAATTGCTAGATGATATATTAAGTTTAACAAACACAACAAACTAGGCAAAAATAGCTCAATTAGTCTAAAGATATTGCTTCTTTGATCCTGTAGTCATTATAGTTAAATGTACATCTCTTATTCAGACTTGCAAAACAAAATCTAGTCTTTGAGCATTTTGACAGTGTTTCTAATACTTTATTATCAGTCATTTCTGTATCTCAGTTAATGTTACCACACCTGAGTTAAAGTTTTTAGCTAGAGGTAAAAATAGTCTGCAGCATTGTAAGCTAGAATGGAGACATTACCAGGAATGGAAAACTGACAGCAAAATTACAGAAAAAAGGGTAGCTTGAATAGTGGAACATTAAGACCATTAAAAAGGAAAGAAGACTGTTAACATCTGTGGAGCCAGGAGAGATTGATTAGCAGGAATCAGGTAGCTTATAATGAGTCATGAATCAATTAACTCTCTGTACTATCTGAATAAAAATTCTGCTGCTGTTCCTAGGCAGTTGGTTTTAAAGCTTGTGTGAAGCAGGAATCAAAGGGGGGGTGCAAGTGCACCACTGCACCCTGCCTAGATCTGCTCCTTTCCCCTGGTATCATAAAGCATTAACACGCTTTTGACTTATAGCGTAGGGTACCTTTTCTTTCATTTTCACACAGGTTACCTGTGCTAGGGAAGATGGCAATTTGAATCCCCATCCTCCCCCCCTTCCTTCTTGGTTACCAGCACAGGAAAGGAATCAGCATCACCTGCTGTAATTTATGGAAAACAACCCCAGGGTGATTTTCCTAATTTAGATGTCATATGGCTTTCAGGCTAGGTTCAATTTATAGTGCTTATTTGAGATACCAAAGAGGCTCATCTTGTGAAACAGGGGTTAACTCTCCAGAGAAATGACCCTGGCATTCCAAAAATATGTATTAAAATTAAATTAAATTAAATAAACCAAAAAACCACAAAGGAACATGGAAAATAGCATTAATTAATGGAAAAAGCCATGGGAAAGCATTGGAAAAGCTGGTCACATCAGCTTTGCAGCTATTAGAAGGCACAAACTCTCCCAAGTTAAAATGCCCGATTTAGCATTTTAAAAAGCCCTAGCCATTCCCTCCCCAGTTTGATTTCTTAGCTACTCCAAGGCTAACTTTCATTTCATTCTTTCTCTTCTCACTCTCTCCAAAACACCTGTTCTCTTCTGCCATTACTCTGAAATCTCTAAAGGACCTGTGTTGCCACTGTGCCATGCAGAGGCCAGGCAGGGAGGTGTCATGAGTCAGGGTGATACTGAAGAACAACTGACATAGAAACTGACAGAATTTTAATACAGGTCTCCCTCACTTTATGTGGGTTCTGTATGTGCAAATTCGCTCTCATGTGATGACCCTTTTTATACCAAAAATTCGTTATTTGCGAGGTAAATTCACTCTTATGCGATTGGTCTGGTGGAAGCCTGCAGTCAGCTGTTTTGTGCAGTGCATTGTGGGAGTGATGCACACCAAAATATAGTTTCCTGTGTGGCTCTGTGTTCCTTGCTCGTTGTCTGTGACATGTTTCTGTAGTTGCCATCCCCATTATGGTAACATTCACCACCACTTTGTGCTTGTGTGTCCTGTCTGCTGTTGGTGAGTACCAAAACTGTCTTGTAAAAGTGGTAGAAATGGGCCTGGGGATCAGTACAGTCGAGGTCTTGGAATATATCCCTATTTATTACATTGTAAACTGGGTTCTCTTTATGCGAATTCAAGTTATATGCCATTTTCCAGAAATGCACATACAACATAAAGCAAGGGAAACCTGTATTCAGAAAAACCTAAACTTGCCCACAACCTAACTCTTCACTAGTGCTTGCACCTTCTGTGAGAGCTGAATAGAAACGGCATATGGGTTGAGTCTCCCAGCAATAGGACACACATCTGTCTGAGGTAATTTTGAAGAGCAGTCACCTTGGTACCTCCATAAGGATGAGATGAGCAGAGCTGTCCTTGCTACGGGTGTACAGGAGCTGTCAGTCATAGATTAAACCAAGGTTGTCCAACTCTCATGGCCCCATGGAGTACCTAAGGGTTATGGGGCCAATCTGTGAGCCAAACCAGGACTGAGCCCCCTTATGCAGTGCCCACAGCCTGATCTGTAATGTGTGTCTGGGGCCACGCACTAGGCCAGCCCTGCACGTTGGATCAGCCCTAACCAGCCCAGTGCTGCAACCTGAATTGGGCTCATAGACTGGAGAGAGCCCACAGACTGACCCTGCACCACCCATCTGGCCCACAGGGCCAAGAGGTTACCACCACTGGCTTAACACATTTCAGGAGGCATAACTGAATTAATAGACAGGGATTTGGTCATAGCAACAATCTATAGCAGAAGAAACCATGGACTCTAAGTACCAGAATTACTTAGAAACTCAGTTTTGCACCTCTTCCCACAGGCAGGCGCTCCAGGAGCCCAGCATCCTCTTAGAATCAGAATCATAGAAAAGGAGGGCTGGAAGGGACCTCAGGAGGTCACCTAGTCCAACCTCCTGCTCAAAGCAGGACGAGCCCCAACTAGATCATCCCAGCCAGGGCTTTATCAAGCCAAGCCTTAAAAGGAAGGATGGAGATGCCACCTTCTCTCTAGGTAACCCATTCCAGTGCTTCACCACCCTCCTAATGAGAGAGTTTTTCTTAATATCTAACCTAAACTTCCTTTGCTGCAACTTGGGACCACTGCTCCTTGTTCTGTCATTTATCCCTTTTGTTTGTGAAAAATGTTTGTGTTCCAAGCCAAATCAGCCAAGTCAATTCCAAATCTGTGAGTCATTCAAGAACCACAAGTGGCCCTACAGCTGGCAAACATCCTCCACCCCACCTGGGGCTTCAGATGTTTCCAAATCCTTTGGCAGGCATCCTACGTGCAGGCCCAAGCCTGGAGGCTTGAGGTTCGGATGCCCCTGAGTTTCACTTGGTCTCAGCCATATGGCCACAGGAGCAAGATAGGGAGGAGTCTCCCATTTCCATAAAGTGGGCATAAAACTATATTACCTCTGCAGGTACTACCCCATGCCAGGAAAGCGGTTCTCCCCGGGTGTGACTAGGACACCACCTTGGTAGGCACGGTGTTTCCTGTCCCTCTTAACAGCTGTAATTTATCACCACTGAGAACAGTCTAGCTCCATCCTCTACCCTGCAGGTAGTTAAAGGCTGCTATCAAATCCCCCCTCAGTCTTCTCTGCTGTAGACTAAATAAGCCCAGTTCCCTTAGCCTCTCCTCATCAGTCATGTGCCCCATCCCCTAACCACTTTCGCTGTCCTCCACTGGACTCTTTCCAACTTGTCCACATCCTTTCTCTAGTGGGGAGTCCAAAACTGGACATAGTACTCCAGATGTGGCCTCACCAGTGCAGAATATCTAGCTTATTGTCAACTGTAACCCCCAGGTCCTTTTCTGTGGAGCTGCTGCTTAGCCAGTTGGTCCCCAGCCTGTACTGGTGCATGGGATTGTTCCATCCTAAGTGCAGGACTTTGCACTTGTCCTTATTGAACCTCATGAGATTTCTTTTGGCCCAATCCTCCAATTTGTCCAAGTCACTCTGAATCCTCTCTCTTGCACCAGGCTGAAGCACTGAACTCAAAGGAAACCTCCTTTTGAGCCCCCAACACCTTCCTGCAGGACCTGTAGCCTGCTCTTGACAAGGGAAAAGTTGGAGTTTAAATTCAGCCAGCACAAGACCTGAGGTTAATTTAAACCCTGCCTTCCCACTCCCCACTCCCCTCTGCTCCTCCCCCTCCCACCTGCTGAGGTAGGGTAACCCCTTCTGCTCCATTTTATCTAGTCAAATCTTAACTTGGGTAGGAACTAAGGATTTTAGCCTTGAGCCCATGAGAGGAGAAATGCTCAACCTCCTATTAGTCTAGCTAGCCTATATTAGCTAAATCTAACCCTAAACCCCAGATGTTTCCTCATTCAGATAATGTGTCTGTGTTGCTTGGAGGTTTCCTTCCAAACAGTGGCATGGCCCAGCTCTGATCAGCTTAGATGTATAACTATGGACTTCTTTACATTTGGAAATCACTATTCTGGAATTGGTTATTCTATCTGAAATTGTGCACCTAGGGGCTTGTAGAAATTATTCTGGATGGGCTCTTGGGGAAAATGTCTAGGTGCAGACAAGCCTGGAGCTGTTATGATGGGATCAGGCCAATCTATTTATAGCTGTGCATAAGAGCCAAGGTTATCAGAAACCTTCCCATCCCTCTTCCAGTCAGGAGGACATCCTACATGGTACGGACCCCAGCTGGCATGTAGTGGCCTTCTACCAGGAGCACTACTTATAAGGGCATTGCTACCGGATCACTGCTTGGTAACTGAGGACCACTTCATCCAATCTAGATAAGGTCAAAAATAGCCAGTTAATCTCCACCAGGAGTACAAGAAAGAAGCCGGCAAGCCAAATGAAAAGCTCTTGGCTGGAGTGCTTCTGCAGCACTCAGCAGCTGAGCTCATGCTGCAATCCAGGCACCCCTCCGCCCCAGCCTGAGCAAGACACTCCATTGCACTGTGCGGCTCTTTGCTCTCTTGGATCCCCAGGGAGCTAGGCCAGGGGTTAACTATAATAACCATCAGTGAATCTTGGCTCCTAAAGAGTCCTTTCCATGTTCACAAATGTTAGAGACATGAACTGAACTCTTCCAGTCCTTTAAAGGGAGTGTTATTCCCCTTCACAGGCAGGGCAACAGCAGCAGAGAAAGATACTGAAAGCCCTGCTCATGGTGATACAGCTTGTCCTTTCCCCCAGTGTGGCCTAAAAATGCAAGGTTCTCTGCCTGGCCTGCTTCTCCACCTCCACCTCCCCCCAGCATATCTATGTGCCTGGTAGACTCCCCATCTTATTTCAAACCTCAGCTGAAGATAACAAGATCTATCCCCTCTCCCTCTGGACCTCTTAGTGCTGACCTCACTCTCTTGTTAATAGTCACTTCACAGATGTATTTAAACCTGTAAAGCCCTGGGGCTGTACAGCTGGGTCTCTTGGTTTCATGATGCTGGTCCAGCAAGTGGCACTGCCTCCTGACACAGGGAGGTAAGAGGGTCCTTCCTCAGACTGTGGCAGAGTTCAGCAATGGATTAGCTACAGGTCCAGGATGCCTGTGGAGGGAGTTCTGTCCAGCTGCCTCAGACTCAGAAAGAGCAGGAGAGCAAAGGGAGGCAGGGTCGGTTTCAGTAGCTAGGTTTTATCTGTACAATGTCATGCCAGGGAAGGAGGTCAAAAAAGACCTCTCCAGAGAAGGTGCAAGCTGCTGTCTTTCCAAATGCAGCACGACAGATGAAGTGGCTCCTATATCAAGTAGAAGGATGGTCCAATTCTTTTGGGTGCTGCCCTTGAGGTTCAGCACGTTGAAGTGAAATTCCCTGCTCTGCCATACAGTTCCATCATAACCCTGTGCAGGTCACTTAGTTTCTGTGCACCTCTGTTCCCCACATCTAAGAGGTGCTTCACTGCCCTGTGGGAATAATACACCAAAGGGTGTAAGGCACAGCAAAGCTCTGGCAACAGGAGACAGACCTTGGACAGCTGTAGAATATCTCCAGGCTGAGAACCCAGTCTAACTGCCCTGCAATGAGAGTAATTGTTGAAATGCAACTACCTCATGTACAGGCCCTTTACAGAGCAACTGAGTTATAGGCCACTAGGGTGGTGTCAGTGTGAAAAAGCATTGGTAACTGCTGGCATGCAGCTGCTTGCCATGCACAAGGTTGTATCTAATGCTAACTGAACAGAACAGAAGGAAGCAGGTACAGCAAGCAAGCTAGAGAGAGGGAGTCAGTGCCATGAGACGAGGGAGAAGAGGTGACCCATATGGCTGTAAAATCTGCTAATTACTGCCAGCTGATGAAGAGGGAAGGGAGGCATCCGGAATCAGTTGCCTTTGCTCACTGGCCTTGCTGGGAGAGGTTTGATACTGGGCTCCCAAGAGGTGCCGAGTATGTAGGGACTTGGAGGCCCTGTCCCCTCTCTGGGAAAAGGGCTGTCACCTGAAATGTATAAAACTTTCCACATATCCATCGTCTAAGGTCCCCCCATCCCCCAGCAAAAATAAAAGTTGGTGCCTATGCCAAGAGGTCCCTTTTGGGCTCCCAAGCACCCACAGAAATTGCTTGGAGAAAAGAAAAGGCAGGTGCGGCTAGGTACATTCCCCCAGCCTGGGACCCTCTTAGCAATAGTCAGAAATTTGTGATTGCTTTCTGATCTACCAGTAAAGCACTCAAGGAGAAGGTACTACCCAAGGAGAAGTTACCTAACCAAGAAAATCTACCCAAGGAGGAGGTATCTTTTAAAAGGGCCTTCCCCCCAGAGTGGGTTACAAGCCCCCTTTTATTTTGGCCTTTTAAATCTGTTTCTTTCTGGTGTTCCCCTTACCCAGACATTATTGTAGGGCTGTTTATGAGTGATGCAGCACTGGCTCATGGCCCACAGGGCTGTGTGAACATTCGGTGATGCGGATGGCTGGCTTGTGAGCATGGAGGTTGTGCACACCAGGGTGTTATTGGAGGGCAATTCTCAGGTGCTGGGCCACTCCTCTTGGTTAATTAGTGTAGCATTGTTTCTGAACACCAGAACGAGCACACTGGTTTGCCAATGTAGGACTGAGAGCACTAGAAGGATTTGTTCTTTTATATGTGTTCCTGATGACTGAACTGCAAACTCCCCCCCACAATTGTTAGGAGCATTGGCTTTTTGCTCACTGGCATGTTGTAAGGTCTTCAACAGAGGTTGTGCTATCTGGCATCCTCTATCCTGTTTCTCTTAAGACAATTAGAAGCTTCTTTCAGAAAAAGGGAAACACAAACGATTTTTAAAAGCAAGTAGCAAGGAGGGGAGGCAGGCTCTGCACTGGTCTCTCTCTCCCTGCTTTGTTATTGTCCCCTTTAAATGAATTGTCTTTCAGAGCAGCCCCCAGACCACCACCCTCCTTGTGTTCCTTTACCAAGAGCTAACTGCTTCTTCCTGCTCTCTCAGTTGCATCGCTTCACATCTCGGATTGAGACTAACCCTTCCTGCTTCATCTAAAGAGAGAGAGCAAGGAGAATGGAAGAAAGAGGGCTGGAGACTGGAAGGAAAGCAAGCCCATGAGCTCAAGCCTTCTCTTTCCAGCCCCATAATTTCTTCTCCATCTCTGGGACATACACATGTGCTCTATGGCAGCAGCCTCACACAGTTCCTCCTCAGATAAATCCTTCTTCTCAGGCTTAGCTTTGTCCCTGGCCAACTCCTGTGTCTATCACATGCCTACTTGCCTGCCTGAGAGTTTTATACAGTTCCTGTGATCTCTAAGCAGCATCCATATGAAGTCAGTAGCAGTAGTAAAGTCCTGGCAGACCCTGTGGCAGCATCAGGTCCCATGAAACAGCTTCCTCAGGTCTGTCAAGCAGACCTTCCTTGCAAGGCTACTGGGATTCCCAGGACTGGGATTGCTGCAGGCCTGGGCATCCTCAGACCTAGCACTGGTCCCTTTATAATGGTGCCTTTCTTACAAACAGAACAGCTTCTGGCCCTGTATCCACCACTGCTCTGATACTTGTTGACCTCTGCATTTTGTACAGTGCCACTATAAAATGCCAAAGGTAAATGCAAGGCTTCATTTAAAGTCCAAATAGAGTAAAAGCCAGTCTGTCCCCTGGCTGTAGACTTTAAGAGGGGGATTTAAAAGGGCTTCCACTGTGATACCCCTGTCTGTAGACATGAAATATAATTAGTATCCTGGTTGTTCAAGTCCACAAACACACTCCGCTGTGAGCCTAGCCACAAGAGGACAACATTATTCATACAGACACATGGGGTGAGGTCAGAACAAGTGCTCTGTTGTGTTTTCGAGACTGGAGAAGGAAGACTGTCAAAAAGGTATCAATCAGACGTCAGTCATGACCCACAGAGAGCAAGGACCAAGGGTTAAATTCAGGGCAACCCTGCTGAAGCCAGTGGGGTTGTCCCAGACTTACAAATAAGTAATCCCGAGTCCCAGCTCCATAATCACAGCACAAGCACAATGGAGTGGATTCCCAGGGGCTGCCTACCCTAGGGATACAGTGTGCTACAGCAGCACAAAGCAATGCAGCATGATGCTAAAGGAAACCACGTTCCAGCAGTAAGCCCATGAGACTGCACAACCCAATAGTGTGAAGGAGCACAGGGGCCTCTCTGCTCTTTCTCAGAGCCTAGGAAAATAACTCAGTTCCTCAGTGGGAACATGGGTACCCATAAAGCAGAACAACAAAAGCAGTTCCCAGGACTCTGGATAATAATCATTGTTTTCCAAGCTGCCTAATTATTATTTTGACTGTATGAAAACTGGGAGGGAAAACACAAGATACAATATTTTCAGCTCACAGGGGCTGAACTATACTTCAGGCAAGTCAACTGTTAAACACTAAGTTAGTCTCAACCTTAACAAGAGCCAAGCAGCCACTTTTAACTTCTCAGGCAAGGCTTTTCCTGGCGCTCCCAAGCACCAAGGGATCAACCAATAGGGGACAAAATAAGCAGCGTGTGACTTCAACCACATAACCCTTTCTAAAGAGCCTGGCTCCTAAAGAGGATAATGTACCACAAAAATTTGCTTGATGTATAGCACAGGCAGCCAGAAAATGGGCAGGATGGTGGGGGAAGGGGCTGGCTTAGGAGGGAGGTGGGGAGACTGTATTCATCTTAGAAGAGAGATTGTATTGGTGTGGGAAAAATTCCATACACAATGTCACGTTTCTGCAGAAGCCCTGGTATTTCAGGAAGGAGCATGCTTCAAGTATTTAAAGTTTGCCCACAAATATTTTCACAGCACTAGCTAAGGGACAGATCAATAGTTGTCTATCTGTAACCCACCTGCCATGTTCTGAACCCCAATCTTTCTCTACATACCAAATACTATGGAGTTAGCACTCTGAGGCTTTTATAACTCATGGGTAGAAATGTAGGTCAGGAAGCTCAGTAGCTTTACAATGCGGGTGATACAGTGAACTGGTTAAGTCATGCTTCTTGGCTATCAAGGCATTAATTTGCATAATTAAGAAAAATGATGCTTCGGGCAAAATCCTGCCCTTACAGGTAGGAACTATGCTGTTAGAAAAAGGTGGACAGGGGAACAGTGCCAGCTCTATGCATTACTTACTAAGGAGCAAGATGGTTCAAGTCAGACAGGCACAGTGCCTGGGGTCCTCGGATGAGGAGTACATGCTGCTGGCAGCAAGATGTGACCTAGCCAGACCATGGACATTAGAGTCCAGCCTCCACCCAAGGGTGCCAAGGTACACTGGCTGGTCTGGTGTCCAAATCACCCATCCCTCTGCCATGTTTTCATGTACTGGGTTAGAATCCTGCCTTGCTGCTTGTGTGGAGTGGCTTCCCTTGGACAACACCCAGCCAGGTAAAGGCAGGATTCAGATGCGGAGAAAGGGACAGGTTAAAACTCATTCCATATGTGCTCTATGCTGTAAAGCTATCTCATTATCCTTATAATGCACACAGCCTAAGCAGTGTCCGTGGCTTGGGATCCTCTCCAGAGCTGAGAAGTCTGTACCTGCAACCCCTCAAGCAGAAAGGAAGTAGTCTGTATACTACACAGCACATAGTGCTGCCCACCTCCAATCCCCAACATCTGTGATTCCAGCAGGAGATCATCTACCTTGAAGCATATTGTGCATCTGACAGTATTTTGGAGATGAGAAAAATATAGAGATACAGTGTCAGGGTGTGAGGACATTTAGACTTTGCATTGCACTGCAATTGTATATTTGCTGTGGTGTAAGAGTGGTGTGCTGGAATGCTGTTCGTCTTACACCCAAGAAAAAGTTATTTGGGCCTCCATTTAGATCCTCTCCACCCAGAGGGGAAGATGGATTTGAAGAAAACTGCTGGGAGGAAGAGAGTCAGGCACATAAACTCTTCCATTTCCTCTCTCTTTCGCTCATTTTAAGAACATGTTGATATTTGTCCATGCAACTGGAGCTTCCCACCTGTATCCCCTTACACAGCCACTTGCAAGCAGTTTCCACTTCATGAATATTGTGCAACATGTTTAACGTGCCAGCACCGATTTGTTTACTCAACTTGCCGTACTTTGCAGGATCCACTTACTGTAAGGAAGCTCCATTTAAAAAGATAGGCTTGCAGTCCAGAATTTCACTTCTACCAAAAAAAAAAGTGGCATTTAACTCCTAACAAGCTCTGCAAATGTTTATGTTGGTTTGTCTTATTAATAGCATTTAACACTGATACAGAAAAATCCATCCCGAGAGAGTTTTATATTAGTTAAGGAATCCTCACAGTTTGACCTGGTAAAGTGAAAATATAAATGTTTAGAAATGGGGAAACTAAGGTACAAAGTCGTGAGCAATTTGTCTGAGGTCTCAGAGGAAATATTTGTTAGACTACCATTGGAATTCAAGCAGGCCTTGCTTCTTATTCTCCCTGGCACGGGGGAACTTTTTCTGAGTTTGATAAGTTTTTTATTGGGGACAGATATAGAAGCCTTGCTACTGGCGATTTGCATACTATTAGCCAGATTGCACTTGCAATTTACATATACGTCACCAATGGCTCCAGGTTCCAAGTTCTGGGAACAGATAAAGAGATCTGAGTAACGCAGGTTGGCAAGAGATTTTTTACTATTACCTTTGGGAGACAGCCGTCATCATGAGACATGCAGATCAGATTCTGACCCATGAAAGTTTTCTCCAAGTAACACTAAGCCTCTCTCAGCTCCCCCATAAATTTTCTCTCTTGCCTGCAGAACATAATACTGTTATGGAAGTAGGAAGCTATAGTTGCTGGTGGGTATTTATGGAGTAAAACACTGATCATTTATGTGCTGTATCACAGGCAGTTCTAGAACTTTGAAAGCTTGGGGGTTCAGGTGATGAGGTACATTGTCACATATTAAAAAAAACCACACTTTTTTCCAGTTCAATATAAATGAGAAGCTTTACTAATATGCTAGGGATCTGAAGCTGTATTATTTGATTTAGTATTGAAGCAAAAACAAATATAATTCCATTGGAATGAGTCAAAAACCATCTGCAGGGCTATGAAATAGGAGCTTTAATACCAGGAGCAGCTATATGGAACTGCAGAACAAAGGACAGCTTGACTGGTGGAACATCAACACTATTAAAAAGGAGAGAGTGTCATTAACATCTGTGGAATGAAGAGTTTAGAAGGGATCAGGTAAATTATAATGAGCCATGAAGTCAAGGGACTCCAGTAGCACTGTCTGACTAGAAATGCTGCTACTATTGCTAGGTAGTTGATTTTATATTTTGGGTGGAGCGAGAATCAAAGGGGGTGAGGGGGAGGAGGGCAAGTGCACCGGTGCTTCCCTCTCAATCTGTCCCTGTGCTGTACCCCTGTGGCTACACAGACATAGACACATACAGGCAGGTGGTGACCAAGTACGAGACACCTGCCCCATCCAAGGATTGCTTGCCCTAAAGGTAGGTGTCTTTCAGTATATCTAAAGATCTTGGCACCAGCAAGAGGTGGCCTCAGAGATGGATGGGAGAACAAGTTTCTGTGCATGTGACCCCTCATTAATGTCAGGGACCGGGGTGGAGGCAGTCTGGCCTAGTGGTTAGGCCACTAAGGGAAAGCAAGGGCTCAGGTCAGAGGGCAGGAGCCATATTACAAAATCCAGAGGGAAATCCAAAGGCAAAGTCCACAGCACAATCCAAGATTAGGATCTGGGGATCAGATTCCAAAATCCAAAGCTAAAATCCAGAAATAAGCCCAAACTAGGGTCAGGAACCAGGACAGCCACAGTGCAGGAACTGAGGCTAGGAATAGAAGTTACGCATAAACTGGTTTAAGTGATCAGAAACTGGTTTAAACCTGTAACAGAATAGAAATCCAGTGTATATAAACCAGTTTCAAAATGGATGAAACTGGTTTAAGGTAAACCTGGTTGACTATAGCATCAGACTTAACTGATTTAGGTCAAACCAGTTGATGAAACTGCTGTCCCAGACCCCTTCCTGGTTCAAGTTAAATCAGTCCCCCAGCATTTTGCAGCCCTGGCCTGGGCTGTGTTGTCTGCTCCAGAGAGCAGGGCTGGCCCTGTCCCTCTGCTCCCTAGCTGGAGCA